TGCTATCCTGAGTGAGATATTATTTGCTATCCTGAGTGAGATATTATTTGCTATCCTGCGTGAGATATTATTTGCTATCCTGAGTGAGATATTATTTGCTATCCTGCGTGAGATATTATTTGCTATCCTGCGTGAGATATTATTTGCTATCCTGCGTGTGTGAGTGAATCACTTGGGATACTTCATAGAAGCGCCCTGTAACTTGTGCGTTACTTTTAGTACCAATGAGATCAACAGTGTCACGTCTTGTTCATTCATCGATTCATGGTTTTATTATGCACCCCATACCCATCCCGTGGACGTGGTGGAAAGGGTTACAGAGGTACTTGATCAGTTGGGGAACTGAAGGTGGTGTTGGCAGAGTTGTTCCTTTGGCCTTTCCTAGTATGAGAAGTGACCAAGTCCTGGGAAGGTTTTTTGTCAGTGTTCGACCTTTTTTTTTTGGGGGGGGGGGGGGACGAGGAGGGTTTCTATGTGTGGGTCGTCAGTTAGGTTAGGTTCGGGCAGGTTAGTACATTTGTATAGTGACGGTGTAAACGCTGGAGAAGACGGCCTTGATGTTCTCGTGAAATATAGGCAGTCATTTATAGTATATTTGTATCGTATACCAAATATGATTTGCCAATTTTGTTGTATAAATTTCTTGTGCACCAGTTATATGAATTGTTGTTTTATATATTGAAGGTTGTATATTTTTAGTGAAGGTTTACAGTTTTTTATTATAATAATAATAATTTATTTCAATAAAGTACATACATAGCTGCAGTGTTACAGTACAAACATTGTGTTTGATTTAAAGAAAGAGGTAGTACATACAATACCTAAAGCCACTAGTACGCATAATGTTTCGGGCAAACGCTATGAGAGATTACGCAAACGACAGCTTCTGAACGAGTAACATAAGAACATAAGAACATGAGAACAAAGGTAACTGCAGAAGGCCTATTGGCCCATACGAGGCAGCTCCTATTTATAACCACCCAATCCCACTCATATACTTGTCTTGGAGGTGGGGTCCCTCGATTGAAACAATCGAGGGACCCCACCTCCAGCACGTCATTGAACTTGTATGACAAAGTAATAGGTATTTACTACCATATAAACTACAAGACCATACAAATTATAAGATTACTATAGTGTTGACTGCAGATGAGACCAAAACGGGAGGGGGGGGGGGTAGGAATAGGAATGGGGATAGGCTGTTCCTCACCCCCCCCCCCCCCATCCCTACCTCTGTAGCCTCATATAGGACCACAACGCCTCATATTTCTACAATATTACTCTCATTTCCTAGAGTTGGGGCCAGATTCACGAAGCAGTTACGCAAGTACTTACGAACGTGTATATCTTTCCTCAATTTTTGACGGCTTTGTTTACAATTATTAAACAGTTAATGAGCTCCGAAGCACCAGGAGGCTGTTTATAACAATAACAACAGTTGATTGGGAAGCTTTCATGCTTGTAAACTGTTTAATAAATGTAAGCAAAGCCGTCAAAGATTGAGGAAAGATGTACACGTTCGTAAGTACTTGCGTAAGTGCTTTCGTGAATCTAGCCCCAAGAGTTGAAACCGAAGTTCTATTGAACTTACTGGATCCTGCAGCCTCTCCGAGGCACAAACCAGAGTTTTACACAACTCCCCCCCTGCACTCGAGCTATGTCAATAGGCCGTTCTACCGCTTCGCCCTTACTTCATTACACACAGAAATCACAATTG